GCCTGTATAACAATGAAATCAAGGGCCAGTAGCTATCTTCCCAGCGGGAACGCGTCCCTTCTCACGATGCTATCTTTAGATGGGGGGAACAGGGTCACGCCATGGACCCACCATTCCTCTGCAATCCTGCCTTCGTGATGTAGCAACACGACCTCTCAAAAAGACTGTACCCCAGCGGCAGAAGGTGAATACGCCGCCATCAACAGTTCGATATTCAATGTATCCCATAAGAATACCCTATCTTCCTCCCAAAGCCGGGTAGAGGGTAGCATCAAGGGAGTGGGACTAGTTCTCCTGAAGGAAGGATAGCTACGACCTAAGGAGAATTTGAACACTTGAGAAGAAGAGGAACAAAGTCTTTTCATTAACTTCACCCAAAACTCAGCCATAAAAGCGATTTCCTACGAGGAATTTTAATAATTAAAAAAGGAAGTAGCAAAAACACCTGAATTCTCTGCTGTTCTTGCTCCAACGCAGCCTGGTGGTGCGCGATATACGCTTGCTGAGATTGTGCATATGCTGCCGCTGCTTCTGCTAAACAGGTTCGGAGTTAATACAAGAAAAAGGAAAATAAGAAAAGGAACACATTTACAATAAGCCCAGTGAACTGAGTGATAGAAATAAAATTCCTACTGGGGCGCCATAAAACCGATGTCAGACTTTGCGAATCGAGCGTTCGTTACCAGCGACTCGCTAGCGTCCACGCTCACGTCGCCGCCAGCAAACCGCTCGATTCGCAATGTCAGACATCGGCCTTACAGCTAGTAGAAACTCCTATTGTTGTTCAACGATGTCAAGCAGCTTATTGCAAAATTTCGGCCGAGATTTTGTTCAGCGACATCGTCAGGAGCTCATATGTGGTCCACTAAACGATTCACTGTGCTGGCGTACGACGAATTTGATTTTTATTTATAATGAGACCTAGGGAAAAGTTGGGGAACATTGAAGCGTACACCAGTATTAAAATTTCCTTTACTTTTTCTGTTCCAGACAAGTTGAGAAGTTCATGAGGTATCCCCATAAGAGTTTTTGCTGATAGCAGTATCTTCTTTACATTATCCCCACGGTAAAACTGATTAGAACTGATCCTGAGACTTTCTTCGACAAAAACGAGCGCTGTTCGTAAAGCTGCAAACCCGAATCATTTCAGAAGAAGATAAAGTTGTACAAAAATCATCTACTTTTCCTCATCAACTGCCTAAATTCTGGCAGCAAGCACGTATGCTTTCTGGACCTTTATCTTCTCTTTCACGTTGAATAGCACCTCGTCAGTGGAAAAGGGTTTCATGTCGCGTGCCGACGTCGAAGCCATCCGAAGCTTCACTGACTGTAATTCGTGCCGGAGGCAACTATATCTATTGATCTTGCAGCGTCTCCGTTGCTGTGACGTCACGTATTTATGTGTTTCATTTTAAAATTATGTTTTTGTGTCAGGGTCCTTTGTTACGATATTTTGGCGCATTGTTTATTCACTGTATATATATCAAAATGTTTTTATTCACAGTGTTTATATCGAAATGTTTTTAAGAGCCAATTATTAAGTAGCGATTCTAGCAGCATATGGCGTTCCTCAGCATAGTGGCATTGGGAACATAATTTACACGCGAGTATAAACTCAAATTGTTCTTTCTGCTTCATAACAGCTGCCTTTATGGCTAACATTTCCCATTATTTGTTTAAAGGGCACCAGCTTATGTGAGTGCTATCAGTGCTAACAACCACTGTTGCAGTACACTGGAGCGGTTAGCTCTACAACAAACAGTACAGTTGTTTGCTGTCGACCTGAACTGTCCTCCACCTTACAAGAGCGATTTATGAAGTATGACTGGTCGGTTTTATGGGAGCTCCATAGTGAGAACTTCGCAATCACCCTCTACCTCATACTCCAACACCTGTTTTATTCTTACTATACTGCACCTCTAGAATCTGCCTGTTTACGCGTTGGGAGGGAAGTCAACATTTCCCCCCTCCCTGCTTCTATAACACCACTTTGTTCATTTTTTCTTTCACGGCTGAGTCGATGGTACTAAGAAAAACATGAAGGTACGCAGCAGACTCGGCCGTTTGAGAAGTATTTAACATGTTTCAGAACTAATGGAATTTTCCAGAAAATATCCTCCTACTCCTTAAGGTGGACCCTCCAGCCATTACGACGGTTTTCCTCCAAAAACCTTAAGATGCCTCAAAATCAACTTTCTGCAATTGAAAAAAATGAGCTTTCGGTAATGATCGATCTCGTTGCACGACGTACCATATAATTAGCTTTTTTTTCAGAACCAAAAACCGTATCAAAAACCAAAAACATTACCAAGTCCACACAATTACTTAGCGCGTAACCATTATCATAACCCCTAAATAACATGATGCAGCTGCGGTAGTCTCGTTTAAACTACATCATAGCTGGTGTCTGAGAACTGATTGTGGGTAAAATAGTGCTAATTTGTTTTATTTTTTATTTTATTTTATTTTATTTTATAGTATTTTATTTATTTTGTTGGTTTGTTGATTAATTTTTTATTTAACTGATTTGGTTCCTGGAGAACTGTTGTAGTGCACATACGAGTGCATAGTAATAAATGAATAAATAAATAAATAAATAATATTCACAAACACCGATCCATGGCCTACCGCTCGTGCTGAAGCTCCTCCCACCCCTCCCCACGCCAAGCAGGCCCACTATAACAACACCACTTACTGGCGTCTTACCACCGTTTTAACCTGTCCTCCGCTCACTCCCCACTCCAACTTCACGGTATTCTACTCTCTCACTTCTTCGCTTCCCACAAATCTCGAAGAAAAGGGACAATTTCGAACGCCAGATAACTATACCGCTGTCGTGAAAGTAGAGAGAAAGGGTGTCATGACAAATAAGGAACCCTTTGGAAAGGTAAGATTACCTCATCACCGTATTTGCGAGTCCGTACCGACAAGGTGCTATTCTAGCAGCGTACAATCCTCATTCTGTTTACCATTCAAAGGGCATGATCACGTTATGGATGCCACACCAGGTTATCATGTCCTTCCATCACCCGTACTTTTTCGTGATTGATAATAGATTTGCGGAAGAAACTTTTCACTCGAAACCACATTGCATCGAAATGCAAATAAATAGCGCTCAGTCCGAAAAGATAAAAACATATTATCGAATCAATGTCAAGAAAGAAAACTGAAACTTAATTTTGAAATTTTCTTCATTCGAATCAAAATAAAACTTCACTGACATAAGAGACGTTCTTCACCTTCTTTAGCTTCCTGTATTCGCTTTGCCTTTTCCTCCTCTTCCTTCTGGCACGTAATTTCGTTCGCCTCTCGCTCCGCCTAGAATCTGCTTTGAAATATTGGAAGACCCAGAAGCTTAGAACCAAAACTAGAGCCAGCGCTAGAAATAGATCGCATTGGTTTTGATGAGTTGGATCATACAGAAAATATGCCACATATCAGGAATGGAAGTAAACAAGAGCATCTTCGAAATCAACCTTTTCAGCCTTGCGAAAGCATACTTCATGAAAAAGAGTAATTCAGGTCATAGGTTGACATATCTCCCACAGATGCTGATCGCAAAAATTTTTTTATTTTTTTAAACACCGGGAACATCAGCTGCGAAGCTAGCCTAGAACGGCACAAGAAAATTTGACGGAAAATGAAAATTGCTCACCACCGGAGGCTCCCCGCCTCCGCCTGAGGTTAGTGTCTCGCTTCCGAAAGAAAAAATGTTTTGGAGTTTAGATGCTCTGTCAACCAATGCCCCGTATTTTGAAGAGCCCCCCACGAATGCATACATCATATCAGATTATGAGAATAGGGTTCAAGTGCTTACGTGAACCTTGAAAACGCATTTTCCCTTCTGTTATAATGTTTACTGTTACCGCTTTGAGAATGTCATAATCAGCCTTGCTTCCCTACCATTTGTAAAATTCACAGTTCCGAAAATGACAGGAACAGAAATTGAGGCATATCGGGGTCCCGTAGCAAATACCTCACGAATGTCGAATTTCGGAAAGCGAGTTGCAGAATTCTACTCACACAAGAAAACCGCTGTGTGAGGCTAGTTAACACATGACGGACCGCCGATGTGCACGTATTGCCGCGTCTTGTCTCATATTCTCATTGAAGAAACATTAACTTCATTATCGGTGATGGATATATTCTTTTTGAATCCCGTAATGGAAGCGTATAGTTTTAGAACATCAAAAAGTCAAAGTCAAGCGAAAAGAGTCCCTTCTTCGTGTTCGCGTGCATCACTATGCGCCGTCTGTCATGTGTTGAAGCTCAGCGGGAGCCTTTCGTTAGGGTTCCCAGTGTGCATGGACGTAAACTAACTCAAAACTCTAGAAAAAAAATGAAGAAAAAGGACCCGTCATTTGGAGCAAATGATAAGAGTGAAGCGAATGAAGAACCATATCTAGAGAACGTCACCTTTTCCCGCAGAGACTTGCGCCGCTTCTCCACGTCCTTTTCCCATTCTTGAAACTGCTTCACATAAGCATCGTAAGCATCTGTGCCGATAGAGCTTCTGAAAAAACGATCTACAGTATGCTTTTGAATGCACCAATTTCAAAGATTTTCAGATGAGAACAGTGTGAGGGGAAACATGTCATCAAACTTTTCAAATCACCTCTTCTTTATAAGAAACTTCCCAACAATGATAATAAATCTAGGAAATCCATTCCTTCGTTAGAATGCATTACATCCCGCAACCAATCATGAGAGGCAATAAAATTTCCCATCGTATATCTAAAAACCTCTCTTAAAACCAGCACTGCTCTCGCAGAATTCAACTAGTTACAACGCTCCAGATGTAAACAGCAGAGTCACATGTGTCATGTGGCATTTCCATTACTTTTTCTAACAAATACGGGGAAGAATAGTTAACGGGGCAAATAAAATTTAATTAGCTGTTTAGGTTATCAGCGAAACATTACTGGCCATGCCGACACTAATTTCCCAATGACAAAAATAACAATGAGGACAAAATAACGCGCATGTACTTCGCCCTGAATGGCCCGATGTCAGACTTTGCGATTGGAGCGATTGTGCACAAATTGCAGGAGCGACGGATCGCTTGAGCGATCCATCGCTGCGAGCGACGGGAGATTTACATGGCCGACCAACGATAATTCGGCGCCATCAGCTCGTAAATGTCCCGTCGCTCGCAGCTCCCTGCCACAACGGCCAAGGCACTTATCACGGCCCGAGCGAATGCGATGCGATCGATCGCTCCAAAGTGCGAGCACGGGAGATTTACGAGCTGGTGGCGCCGAATTATCGGTGGTTGGCGGTGTAAATCTCGCGTCGCTCGCAGTGCGAGCGACGGGACATTTACGAGAATGACGCCGAATTATCGTTGGTCGGCCGTGTAAATCTCCCGTCGCTCGCAGCGATGGATCGCTCAAGCGATCCGTCGCTCCTGCAATTTGTGCACAATCGCTCCAATCGCAAAGTCTGACATCGGCCCAATGGATTACACGGTTGCACCCACTGAAAACCTAACGTATTCAGTGATCGTAGAACGCTAGAAATCCACTCGCACGCACTAAGCGCGCTCACCTAACATGGGTCCGTCACTAAACCTCAACTTCAAAAAAGGAGCGCAAACATACGCTGAAGTCACTGACAGTTGCATAGTTGATGCATGTTTTTTGCTACAGATTGCAAACATCGGTCACACAGCCCTCTTCACACATGCATAGGCTTTTTCTTAGTCTCGCCATTACATCAATGAGCATTCCGCGCTGGTCCCGTTAAAGAAACACTTAACATCTCTTAATCAAAGACTATTCTTTACTGCAATGTTGCGACGAAACACCTACCTGCGAGCTTGTAGGCTGAGCTTGATTTATATCGCCTTTCGCTCTAGTTTAGCTACTTTTTTTTAAATAAAACCCACGTAATTAGATGAATGTAGATATGAGTGTAAATAAAAACGGAAAACCCAACAATGAAGTCCAAAATTGACTTATTGTTTGATTCGTGCTACTGAAAACGAAGCACTATCGCGGGTGGGATCAATCTTACTGAGCGAACATTTGGGGCAATAATCGTGTTCATGTTAGAGTAATTCCTATTACTGCCGAGCAAGAATTAACTTCGGTCGTTTCATGAATCGATCTGCTTCTTCACGACCATCTCGCCCCAAGCAAAATGGAAATCTAAGAGCGACAATTGCACTGAGTGAAGCTTGGCTTCTCCCTTATTGCGCCGTCGGTCACGGAGTTGAACAAATATTAATTGGCGGCCATGAAAGTTGAAAAAAAAACTTCAACCAGCTGTGTCCTCGGAATATTGGACTTTCACAAAAAAGTCGAAGTTTTCAGGAGGCAAACCAGTAAGCATTGAAAGAAATGCAGAAATAAAAAATATATAGGCATCGGTTTGGAAGACATAGTGCGCGAGACAACAATAACCAGCGTCGCCGCCCAATTCCAGTGAGTCTTGGTAAGAGTGAGCACTAAGCAGGGAGCACTGCAGTGCCCAGTCTGCTCTAATGCCAATTTGGCTCAAGGAGTCCTTCGAAGTTGCGAAATGCTCCCAGCTTTATTTCTACGTTATTTTCTCAGTTTGTTTGTATAGTGTATGTTTTCTTTGTTGTATGACATAACGTCCATGAAAAGTAGTATTCGCCTAGTTAGCAGACAATACTAAGTCTATAAGGAAGGAGAAAGTCCATGGGGATAACAAAGATTGCTCACAGACTCGGGTCCAATTACTTCTTCTGAGGCTGTCTTAAACATTTACAATAAAAGAATATGATATGCGTAAATTTAAAAGCATTGAGCGCTCTAAACCTCAACGCCCTCTTACTCGATAAGACTTATTTCAGTTGTTGAAATGATTACGGATTTAGTGACAGCTGTCCAACACCGCAATTTTTCTTATCGACAAGTGGGCAATAGGATAGTTCTACTCGAGGCAATGGAACAGGAGTTCTCAAAAACGGCAAGGGCTGTGCAATCCTTGGTCCCAGCATAAATCAAAAAAGGAACTGATAGTCACAAAGCAAACTTACTTGTTCTTCTCCTTCCATTGGTCAAACTGAGCTTTGTAGTCACGGTACTGCTTCTCCAACTCTTCTTCCGCGGATGACTATAAATTATGTTTCGAATGATGGCACAATTCATAAACTCACATACTTATATCCGACAAGTCACGAATATGAAATAACAGACGTAAAAAAATCAACATCGCAGCCACCACAACGTTAGCAAATTTCCAGTTCATCTTAACAAAATGCTCTCCATCATACCTTCTTCGTAGATGGCGTCGACATCTTCAGAAAACTAGACCAGGACAAGGAAACTCGCAGAAATTTTTCCACGCCAGAAAATTTCTTTCAAGTAACGACACTACAAACGACACACAAATGCCCTTTAAACCGCGCCGCGTTGGCCCCGCCTACCAAAGCATGCGGTCCTCCACAGCTCGTTGTTTGCAGTAGCGTACTTCGCTATCAGTCGCCCCTTCGTGTTTTGAAGATATCGACTGTCCTTGAAGTATTTATTTCTCATGAGCCCACCTAGGAACCAGTTGTATCGTTTTTCTTTCGTTTCTACGATTTGTTTTGTTTGGAGTTCAGTAAGTCTCTAATATTCGCATTTCAGGATGTATAAAGCGGGCCATTCAGCCGTCTCCCGAACTGCACTTCCGTCTATTCAACATAAGCAACGATCTACGTACAGCTATCAACAACGTCCACAGGTCCTACAAA